CGGATATATCCAGGAAGAATGCGGACGGAAGAACTATTTTCGATTCTGCAGCGGCTATTGCGGGGAATGAATGCACCCTCGCGGCATTGATTTGCGGAATGACTGCTCTACACGAGGCATCATCTTATATTGGAACTAGTGTTATCACACCAACTTTGCTCACTTATGATGCCGACACCGGAGCGCTGGACAAAACCGGGGTGGCTGTCTTACATTGTGCGATGAAAACTGGTAATGAAGCTACCTGGAAGATGCTTCTTGACTATGGTGCAGGGTTCGATCTGTCAACCTGTGATGAATCTGGAAAAACTCCGCTACAATACATAAAGGAAAATGGAAAAAGCGAAAGCTTTTTTGATCTTGGATTGCAGTGGGCTATCAGCAGTAGGTGTGAGGATACGAAGACAAAGGCATATTTCGCGGCATATTTAGGTCGCCTGGATATTTTGAATCAGATAATAGATTCCAATTTTGATGTTAACGAGCCAGTACTCAGAGATGGAAGTAGGTTATTACATATCGCAGCGAGCAATGGGTTTTTAAATATCGTCAATCGGCTCATCGACGTAGATATTGATATTGAAGGACTCGACAACGAAAACAGAACGCCTTTGCACTGCGCAATTCAGGAAGGTCGATCAGAAATCATCACTCGCCTTCTAGCTGCCAAGTGCAATGTCAATGCGGTCGATAAAAACGGTCTTAGTGCCTTGAGCTACGCGGTAAGATTACGGGATCCAAAAATTCTCGATTTAATCCTCGGCTCCGGTGTCGACGTTAATGCGAAGCTCGAAGACGGAGGAGCTGTATTACACCAGGCAGACGATGCGCCGTCTCGATATCGTGAAGAAGTCGCCGCTGGCGCAGACATTCAGGCCGTTGACAACAATGACAGCACTGCACATAATGTTGCGAGATAACACAACAGGTACCCCATCATGGGTGCCCTTGCGATCAAAAACTCAAATCTACCTCAACATTATGTGCCGCAGGATTATCGTTAAATCGACTTCGACGTTATTACACCGATCTAATAGCAATGCGGTCTTATCTTTGCGCCTCAGGCCGATCGAACGGGATTTTGGTTGATGTATGCTATTCATTATATTCTTTTTCTAGTTTTGAACTTGTACTTTTGGCAAGGGTGTACGAAGGCACTTGTTTTTCTTGGTGGGATAATAATTCCTTTTTTTCTATGTTCGAGTTTTTTCTAATCCGCGTTGCAAGTTTTTTCCTTTTGTAGATGTTTTTCTTTTGGGTTATTCTTTTTGTTTGTCTTTTTCTGGTAATCCTGTTGTTTGATATCTTCGGGGGGGGGGGGGGGGGGGGGGGGGGGGGGGGGCGAATTGTATTGTTTTGATTTTCTTGGCTATGTTAGGACCATCGACATTCAGAGGTGGAGGTTATTGGAGAGACATTTATGCGGTGGAGTAAGAACATATTGGGTCATTTGTAGGTTGTCGTTGGTTGATGATAAGATCAGAGCAGATGAGGGGGGAAAGTTGAAACGAACACACTGGACAAAAAGAGGGAGAGTGTGTGGAGAGAGGGGCTCGGGAGACGTTATGGCCAGAAGGATTTGGAGGATTTCATTTGTGCGACGGGAAGGCGATATCACGGGGAGTCTAGCATTTCTAGAGGGTTGAAAGAGAGTGAGGATACCAAGTGGAAAGGGGGCCAAGGAGAACATGGAGATGGGAAAACTGGGGAGAGTGGGGAACCTAAGCAGCTTGAGAGACGAAGTGAATAGAAAGAGGGATTGAGCAGAAGAGCAAAGGTTGAAGTGTGGGGAGGAAGAATGTTGAGGGGTAGAGAAGCTATGTAGAAAGTCTCAAAGGATGGAGAGGCAGAGAGACGGAGGATAGGTGGAGGATAGGCAGGGGGACGGAGGAGAGGCGGAGGAGAGGCGGAGGAGAGGCGGATCGACGAAGAGGTGGATTGGCGAAGGAGATGGCCAGCGGTGGTAGGTGCAGTAAGGTGCGGCATGGCAGTGAGTTTCACTGGGTTTTATTTCTTTTTTCCTTATTTCCTTTTGGTTCTCTTTTGGAAATTTAGCAAGAGGAGTGGCGATGGCAGTGATCCAGGCGGAGATGGGACAGGGAGCGGACAGGAAGGGAGTGGAGAGAGAGCATGGAGGGAGGCAGCAGGGTGGCAATAGGGAGGGCGTAGGGAGGGAGCAGAAAGGGGGTAGGGACGGAGCGGCATAAGACAGGATCGCCATAACGCCAAAGGCATCGTCCAATCACCTACGTTTTCGAGAAGAACACCATCATCCTAACACCAGAATCCTTTCAACGTCAGCTTTGGATCGGCTGAAGCTATCGAAACGCCCCAGCTGTCAGCACCAAAATCCTTCTACGCTCCTAACAACAAAACCACACCGGTATGATGTATCTCAACCTCAAAACAACACTAGCCATAGTTTGACCTCTTCGATACTCACGGCACCTTAGATGCTGCTTCTTCGACCGACTGAAGGTACAATCATTGATCACCCCCCGCCCCCGGAGGTCGAATCTCGAGAGCTCTCATTTCCATCACAAAAATCAGCATCCGACATAACGATGGACGTACGATACGTATTGGCTTCCAGCCTCAGGATCGAACTTGGGAATATTTATCTCGATGTCAGTGATCATCAAATAGGGCCACACTCCAAAAGGTTGTCAGTAGGACAACATAATTCCGTCAGTCGAAAAGAAGTACGCTCAAACATACATCTTGATCAAGCAGAGGATACACGTAATTCCGTCAGTCGAAAAGAAGTACGCTCAAACATACATCTTGATCAAGCAGAGGATACACGTATGGTGATGGCCTGGGAGGCTGGGAGCTGAACGGATAGGATGGGGGGCTGAGTGGTTTCGTTTTTGGTTTTCGTTTATGATATTGTGTCCATTTGTTTTGCTTTATCTGGGTTTAGTGAGGGATAAGTAGTTTGTCGGTTCTTATGTTACTCGCTTTCGTACTGGTTTCTTTTGTAAGCATGAATTCTGTAATATGTAGTACGTAACTACTGACGGGGTGATTGGGAATGAAATTGGCTTGTTTTATACATACGCGTCGCTATCGGTCGTGAAGTTTCAAGTGATCAACGTTGTGACCACAATTCGCGAACCTAAGTACGATTGGTGGCCTCTCGCCATGTTGATTGTGCCGGAGAAAGCTTCTGTATAGGGTGTAGCCCGTGTGATGAGGTGAAGTCATGCGCAGTCGCGAATGGGGGAAGATGCTTGGAAAGCGGTCTCCCACATTCAGTGACGGTGGAATCAGTCGGCTTAAAAACAAGACTATTTCACAGCTAGGTCTGACAGATAGTCTACAGTCTATTCGGAAAGATTGGGGACAAATGGCAGTCTTTTGTGTCGACGAAGCCGCAGCCAAGGAAATTGACAACGGTTTTTCTGTTGAGAAAATAAACGATACCCAACCCTGGGTCCACGTTCATATCGCCAATCCCACAGCTTTCCTTGACCCCGAGCACTGGATAACTTACATTGCCGCATCGCGCGTTGCCACCAGATATTTCGACCCTTATACCGTCCTTATGCTCCCCACCCCAGTCTCCCACAGCTTAGGTCTTGCACCGGATAGGCCTGCCCTCACCTTTTCGACCAAAATTGACCACACCAATGGCGAAATTCTCGATATCGAGATCGCTCCTGGAACCGTCCACAATGTTAAATCCATGACCTACAAGCAACTTGGTTCCGTCCTCAACATCGAGAGTGAGCCTCAGGTCACTTACACGTTTGGAAACATGCCAACAACCCCGGAGCCTCCTCTACCGTCTCTCTCATCTGCAGACTATGACACCCTTAAGCACGTCGATGTCTGTTACAGGGCTCTCCGAAAACGTCGTACTCGCAACGATGGTGTCAGTGTAGAAACCATCGGTTGCGAAACCGCAGTTTCCCACGAAGTAAATAAATACCTTGCCCCCAGTCTCTCCCCCGACTATCCCACTCTCTTCCGTGGTTTCCCCGCGGCCTCTTACACTGTCGTCCTTGTACCTCGGAACAGTGGCCCTAATCATATCATTGCCGAAATGATGGTCCTTGCCAACAGTTCTGCCGCTTTATACGCCACCAAGCACGATATCCCTCTGCCTTTCCGAGGTCTCGAATACAACCACCGTGTCCCCGAGGTTGTAAACCATTTCAAAAATGTCATATTGCCATCCCGTGATGAGTACGGTATCTCCAGTAGAGATATCATCGATGATATCAGAACCTACATAGTGATTAGTTATGCATCTACACCCACCACAGCCGCCCCTCATGTTCTATTAAGTCTTGATACTAGATACGTCAAATGTACTTCACCTCTTCGTCGGTTTTCGGATATGATAGCACACTACCAACTTACTGCTCACATCCTCGGAAAGCGGAAGTTTATGATGAGCCATAAAGCTTTGGCAGCAGTTACGGCCAACTTGGATATCAAAGAGCGAATGATCAACTTCGGATCTACTGAATCAAGAAAGTATTGGAATGCATGGGCCTTGAAGCATCTTTTGGAGGTGGGTACGAAGTTTCCTAGAAACATGACGATGACGGTTTTGGAGGTGAAGCCCTGGCCAAACCCTTCAAGTGGTTGGGTCAAGGATATGGGTTGTGTGGGTAAGCTGTGGATGCCACAGAAGGGATCGCATAGATTGGAAGTCGGTAAGAAGATTACGGTGGATTTGGTTGGTGCGGAACCGGGTGATAGGTCGATAAACTTTATGGCTATTGGCTCGGCGTAGGGAAATTTTGGAACGGGATTTGTAAGATAGTTGTTGCTTGATTAGATTTCAGGGTTGGATATGCATATTTCAGTTGTAAAATATAGATGGTTTTGGATGGTGGAGGGTCATAAGAAAATGTCGAATAAGATATAGCTATGTATCATACGCTTATATGTGGGTTATAAAGCCTTGAAGCCCTGATATCTGCCTCACCTAGTGACAAAGGTCGGAAGAAAAGACCACCCGAAAAAATGTGCGACCAAAGAAAAATTGATTTCGCCCAGGCTCAATCTGGGGACCTTTTGTGTCCAGCTTCTTTGGAAACTGTTAGACAAATGTGATAACCAACTACACCACGAAACCAACTGACAAAATGAGACAGCAGTTACAAATTATTAACAAACCTTGACAATCACAGTTTAGGTTGGTCCACAAATCCTGGAATTGTCACAATTAAGCGTCATGGCACTCTATGCGAGACCGGTTCTACAACTTTCACTGATTATTTTGCCATCGTCCAGCAATTAAACTTTTGCCATGTTTCAATATCTGAGAAGCTTTGCTCCATGAGTGCGCTTCCGCACACCTAGAATATCTCACCTGCGGCTCCAGCAGTCCCTTGTTCGGTGGCGTGGTAATAGCTAACCATATATAAAACTAGTGGCCATGCATGCAGGTCGCAACAACTTTTGAAGCGTCGCAGCGGTTCAACACATACAACGTGTTTCTTCTGCGTCCTGGGCAGTCAGATGTAAAAAATTCAATTCGTTGGTGACAGGGGTGGTGCGGTTGAATCAACGGAGTACCTCTTCGAATCACAGAATGCCATGATCCAAAGAGGTCCTGATTCAGAGGGAAGTTAGGCGAAATGGACAACACATTCTGCAATGCAACCGAGGCTAATTAAAAAGGTGAAACCAGTTGAGAAAAGCACATTCCGAAGCGGCGGAGTTTGGAAGTGTCCGGGTTCAAGAGCCAATTAGAAGGTCGGATCACAGCTGGTCGAGTTAGTAGCATTCGAGGTTTCCCAGCTGAAAGCGATATTTAGATGTGCTCTAGAAAGTCACATATGTGCCTCATCATAATATGCATTAGGCGGTTTCACCGCTGCGAATGGACAAGATCAATTATCTGTGACTTCCATTCGCTCCTAAACCCCTGTAAAATGGATTTAACCGTGAACCCCCCCTCTTTTAGACACAATGCACTATTCTCCTTTGCAGACGGTCAATTGCGCCCGCTTTCGCTTCCCACATTCATGCGTCCCCGGGGTTGAGAATCTCTCTCTCACACAAAAGAACGCTCCTGACCCTTCGCGACCGTGCAACTTTTTATTTCAAGGGCAGTCAGTTAAACATTCAAGGTGATCCCGAATTAATTGATGTCAGAACGGAACGCGATCTTCTTCGTGCATTTTGAACATTATCTCGCGCCTGTTGCGATTGTTTTACCGTTAATTGAAAACGAAATTCGCAACCGTGACACCCCCAATTGCCCCGCACAACATGATCGCAAATATGTAACCAGTCAAATGCGAGTTACTGTAGCTACTCTACTCTAGAAGCACATACGCTGTACTAGTGGCGTACAGAATGCAGGTAGAATTCCTCATACTGCATTGACGTTGCATAGTTATACATGACCAATGGAAAGACGCCGATTCTGGGATGCCGTCTGACTACAGTTATCCGCTTGGCCCCCCACCAAGTGGGTATGACTTTCATTGATAAGAATTCCCTTCCTAAATCCTCCAACAAGTTCACCCAGAAGATAATTGACTCTCAAGCACCGAAATGGCCGACAGCAGCAACAGTGCGACGGATGATGGCGAAAACACAATCAATAATCTTTTCTCCGACCTCGCGCCACTATTAGCACTATTCGGCGAACGTTTTGCACAACAGTTTCTCAGCGAATCGACAAGCCTCTGGGACGGTATAGTATTTGCATGTGCTCCACTTGGAATCATAACTGCTATAGTTGGATGCATACGTGTCGGCGGGCCTCCTTGGCTGAGAGCGGTTATCGGCAGAGCAAGAGAAAATCGAGCAGCCGCTGAAATTGAGTTCATGTCCTCAACATCTAACGAAGTTGGTGAATCATTCAACGGAAAATCAATAGTTAGAACGTTGGGAAAACCACAGATAACGCAGTTGATATACGTCGAAGAACACAACAACGGAAAAAAATGCGATGCCAATGAATCAAACACGTTCGGGATTTACACGCTACAGGATACACTTGATCATGGTGATATTAGTCATAACAAGTCACCCTTCGAAGAATACTCAAGAACCTTAGTGCACGCCCTAAGAGATAAGCGCGAGATTAGTCCAGCAAGGCGAGTAGGAGCTCGGGCCGACCAAGAACGACCTCATAGCCGGGATGCGGAATTCTGGTGTTACACGGGTACGTTTCCTAACAATCCAATTTTATAAATAAGAAGAAGTTCCAACACCGTATGATCTAATAGGCTCTGTACTTTTATCGAGAGCGGCAGATTTTCTCCGTGGACGCAATCTAAGCAGGATTCAAGACTCTGAGAATTCAATTGGATTAGAACAACTGTCTAGAGAGAATGCCAACTCTAACGAGAGCAAAGAATGGTCGCCAGGTACCAAGCCTTCACAAGAGAGATCACATCACAAAGACGCGAACGCCGAGAATTATGAAGCGCCGAATATATCTTTGAACATTCACGGTGGCAGCAAAAAGATCGACCTCGTTCTTGCATCTCTATGCGGTCTTCTACTTCAGTTAGGCATAGTGGTGTTTTCAGGGTTCACTGTCTATCACCCATTGTTTAAATCTCGTTTTAAGAAGAACGGCAAAGACGTCGCAGTGTATGCATATCCTACAATGGCCACCGGCACGGTTATTCTTTTCACAGGACTGTTGGTGTGTTGCATCGTGATTGACCGAAGTACCAAGGAAACCCGGTGGGTGCTCAAAAGCGATGATGTTGGCTCTAATGGGCAGGCAACGGCGGAAAAATCCAAAAAAAATCTTCGCATTTTTTGGTTACAAAAATCGCATACCGCCAGTGATCAGGAGTTTGACTCCTTCGTTCTGTTCGCACCCAATCCAACAGCCGAGATCCTCACATCTCGGAGACTCGAAAACGAGCGGCGAAATGAGCCTTCACATTCCCGGAGAATAAGTCGTACGGATTCCGCTTGTGGAAAACAACTAAAGGATACGCAAGAAAGTTTGTTCGAGACTTTAAAACGCAAAATCACTGATTCTCCTTTTCTCGCAACATTCGGAACAGTATTGGCTGTTTCTGGATTTATTCTTCAGTTCCAGGGTCTGCGCGGTCTGCACTGGAGTAGCTCCATAGCTCAACTAGTTGCAGTATTTCTTATGACTTTAATCAGAGCTTGGGTTCGACGGGGACTAGTTCAACAGCCCATTGCTAAGAGAGTCATAGAGCAACAATACGAAATGGACTGGTTAGCTCTTTACATGTCGACTGAAGGAAGGTATCCGGAAGTTTGGCCCGAGCTTCGAGAGGAAACCACAGAAATACGTCACATGTTGCAATGGATGGTTGATACAGGTGCCGATAACCAAGCCTTACCCGGTGACCGTAAACTTCCGGAGCTCGCAAATATTGCCGACACCAACGAATGCGCATATATCCCTCATCAATCTGTGTTTGATGGGAGCGCAGCTGGAAAAGCAATACAAATTCGCATGCGCTTGTTTTCCCTAACAGAATGGAGCAGCCCTATGGCGGATATCGCAAATTCTGTCACAATCGCGATAGAGAGCGTGATGAATGTCATTGGTGCCGGTGTTATCGGAAATCCAAAACCCGGGAATACTTTTTTTTGGTCCCTTCGCGCTCGACAGGAGGTAATTCGCGCTTCAGATGTACAGTTGGACAAAGACTCAAGCCGAAAAACCTACACGCATCTAATCAATTCCAATTGCAGTTGTTACCTCAAATATGAAACTCCAGATGATCGACCATCTTTGCCGTCGTCCTACATCACCTTCAAGCTGCAGTACTCAAAAAATGGCTCGTGGCAAGCAGACAAAAGTCAGATTGAAGCGGCTTTGTCGTTGTGGATGTTTAAGTTACGTACAGAGAAGCGCACAAGCTCCAAAGAATCCATTTTTCTGCTGGGTCCCGGTAGAGAGAGTATCAAACTTGATCTCCAACGCTGGGTTGGAGATCTGGAGCTTATCGAAGAGAAATTCTATCGTACAGATGCATCACCGGCAGAGAGACCCTCATTCTACGGATTTTCAGGTGTCCTAACTAAGGGAGAAGTAGCAAATCATTCTAGTCCAAAATACAAAGAAGTAGCTATAAAATCAGAGGCCTCGTTGGAAGTTTTACTTGCCCGGCATTTGTTTTCCGCATTTATGTGGGCAGTATCTACTGAAATTAATCCTATAAGCGGCCAGGGCCAGACTACTGTCAAAAATACGGATATGTTCAACGTAAACGAACCCAATTCAATTAATTCTTTGAAACTTCAGAATAAAAAACTTTCGGAATTAGCGGATACTATAGCTCAGAAAACACGTCTAGGTAATTCTAAAGATATATTATGCTTGCTGATACCACCCCTGAGTTACGCAAACAAACTTCCTATGGAAGCCTTGGTTGACTGCATCGTCCAACACGCCAGAAAGCTTGAACTTCTCAGACGATGGAAAGAGCTTGTAACAGTTTATGATTCCTTGAGCAAAATTTCGGCAGGCCTTGCTAAGGATACTTTGAGGAACAAAGGTTCAACGCTCCAAAAAGTCATTGCGATTGTTTTCGATGAATTGGCTTATATTTCTCACGTCATCAATCTGAGAAAAGAAGAAAGGCGAAACGATGGTATCAAAGATTTAGAGGCACTAAAATACCGCCTCGACAAGCAACTTGAACAACTCGTCGGCAAAAATAACAAAGGTCTTCTGTCGAAAATATTCTATCGCGCCGGTTATGGAATTCCTGCCATGCAAGAGCCGCTAGATCCAAGCCTATCACACAAAGTTCTGGATGTCCACAAATATGACTCTAGTACCTTGTGGTTGGCCCAATGGCATTGTGTACTGGCTCATTATGATGGCCCACGCGATATGGGCGATTTACAGAGTGTCAATCCCGACTTTTTAGATCTTGTTGGGCTAAAAAAGTTGCATCGCACCATCGAAATTAAAAACACGGATCTTTGGAAACATCTTCAAATGGGGATTTCTATTGATGTCTATGGTAGAGGCAACATGACCCCCCTACATTATGCAGCCATGACTGGTAATTTAAAGTGGTCGCAAATATTGTTACAGGCCGGGGCAAATTTCGAACTTCAAGATGGGTCATGGAAACGACCACTACATTGGGCGGCATTTGGCGGTTA